GTGAAAAAGATCAAGAGTAAAAGGACGACAACTCGGCAAGATCTTCCCCAGATCTAAAGCACAGCTCTCATGCTGTTGGCGCTGAGCGTCAAAGGTTTTGTAGCGCTCTATCAAGAGAATGGCAAGGCGAACTTTTGTAAGAAGGATGACTCATTCAGAAGGCATTTCACCCCAGAAGGCGGATAAAAGTGCAGAATATTTCTAACCTTGTTCGCTTATCTCTGCTGTACTTGGGTACTTTGGTAGAACGAAATTCTGCCGAGAACTCCATATATGTATTCTGAGCGGAAACTCTGGCAGTATTGGTGCCGATGGTCTAGAGCTAATTTTGACCCTGGTTTAGTCTGACCGTTGATAGGATTTGTCCCTCATAACCTAGGTGCATCCATTTAGCACCTTTTAAAGCATAATAATCTATAATTGTTTTTCTCATAGTGATGAAGACAGCTAAAACAAGTGTTCAAGTATTTCAGCTGGTGGTAATTCCCAGTGGATAACCCTTATTCCTACTCCCCACGCCCAAGGGTTCGTATTAACTCACCCTTGGGTATGCAGGTAGGGTACGGATCAGGAATGGCTCTATCTTAGCAGAAGTACCCATGTGTGACAAATCCCATCCAAAGGCCTATCAGTTCATTACAACCGAAATAACCCTTATGAACTTCCATGGCTTCCCATCCGAAAGAAAAGGCAAAGGAAGCGCAGTCCGGCGACGGGGGGGGGGGTATTTTGCCTTCACTGCACCACTACTTCCAGTGCACAAGTCTCACTCTGGTGGAACCTTGTGAACTGTTGTGAAGCTGGAGCAAGCTCGTCCAGCCACCATGGTAAAACGTGTCAACTCAAGAAAAGGTTATCCAGGTTGGTCGGCACATCGATGGGAAGCAAAACTTTCCTGACCCTCCCCCTCCGTCGCCGACAAAGGAATCCTCCCAAAGGCAAGAAAAAACAATTTCCCGAATGGCCGCAGAGCGCAAATCGGGCGCGTAACAGGGGCGCATAAAGTGAAAGGGCTTCACGCTCCAATTTAGAAAGATAACAATTCTAATTACCCAGCTTAGAGCAGAGTCGCTCAGACCAGTGAGAAAATTATTGGTGGGCGGGCCAGTTCAAAAAAGCGAATGCAGAGCTCATCCATCTTCTCGCGTCATTTGACGTCTACTGGAACCACACACCGAGATCTGGCCTTATCTTAGAAACGCATTAGCTCGTCCAGTAATTTTTCTGGACAGCTGAAGAAGAGAAATGGCCCCATTGGGTTAAAAATATCCTTTAAGCCTTGTTTCTGCAGTCTCTGCCTGGAGAACAGCATTTGTCTTATGGACTTTGAAAAAGCTGCAACAGTCATGTCATCAGGGGGGGGGGAATCGAGGAGATTTCTGGAAGCGAATATTTTTGACAAAGAAAGGGATGGGATCGACAAAAAAGGATTTGGAGGATCCTTATTGGCGAGTTCATAACTACAGTCCACCTTACAGGCACTTCAACGAAAAGATGAGAAAAATTGGTTGTTCAGCGGAACCTTCTCCCACCATAACCAACACAAAACCCTCTTCTACTTCGAAGCTCAACTTCCTTTATCCCCTGCCTCCATTCGGAAAAGAAACCATCAGGCAGGTCGGAGGAGGGGGACATTATGTACTAGAAAATGAAAATCTTTCATCCTCCACCACTATACCAACCTTCGGGTTGTACTATGCCATTTACCACCCTTCAGGTAACTGCCCGCCCCAGTGAGCTAACCGAATAAGATCGCCTCCTAAGCTTACTCAAATACGCCCCCCCCACCCCGATCAGAAACCCTCCAGAATGACGTGCCTTGCCTCCTTAGGAGCAGATGAAGCTGAAGGCTTGAATCGAAAACATCTATTGATTAGTACTGACCAGGTGAAAGCACCCGAAAATACTGACGGTCAAATAAATGTAGCGCAGAGATTTGTTACAATTCTTGGCGCACGTCGTGTAGTAAAAGAAGGGGGGGCATTCAAAGAGCTCTTTGCGCTAAACTAGTGTTATCATTACAGAGAAGAAGAAAGGGATGAAATATTCCACCTGAGTCCACGAGAGAAGGAGAGCTGGGGTGGGTGACGCCTGTCTAGGAGGGAATGAGAGCCGGGGTGAATGAACCAACTCCTTTGCGCAAAAGGTGGTTCGTATTTTGGTGACCTCACTTTCGCACAAGGAATTCTTTAAATGTCCCCCCCCCCTCGGACCAGCTTTCTTCAAATACTGAATAATCAACCTAACAGTCGATCCATTAGCACTCTTTCTGGTAGGGGCCAAATACTGCCAGAATAGAATATCCCTGATGTTAGGGTGAACGAGTGCTCTCTTGGCCCCGAAGGCCGAATGTAGGCTAGAGGAACCAGAAAAAATAGCGGCTGAAACAGGAGCAGAATTCTTGTCTTGCGCTGAATTAAATACCGCACTATTCAGCAGTGGAAAGTGACATCAAATAAGTTCAAGAATCATAAGAATAACAAATACAACGACTGAAAGTGATTTCTAATAATTTACCGTAACCAAGGTCAATCTGTAACTACCCGATCAATAATCGATTAATTTCAGAATGAAACAGGTGGTTGAATATATGACGAAGGAAAAAAGGTAACGCGCAGAAAAAAAATGGGAGATTCGACAGAAAACCAGATCAAGTAAGGAAAGTGCTTTGAAAGCCTTTAAAAGGTCCCTACAGGGTCAACAAAAGGTCAGATGTTCTAATTTCCGTGGAAACACAGTTAGCACAAAAAGCGCTAACGGTCACTCGGAGAAACTCTTGCGCTGCCGCCTGACAACACTCAGATGATAACGAAAATCGATACCACAGTCAGAAGGGCCCGGTGAGATAGTCCTAGCGTAAGGACCATCCGGATGAACGCCAACTGGTGACCAGACCAGCAGCAATGGCCAGAAGAGGACTACGAACCGTCGACGAGATGCTGGCAATTCAGGCTGAGAATGAATCATACTGAACATGAGCCATCGGCTGCTTCATCGTCAGCTTTTGCAGTCGAAAAGACCCGACGATCAGCCATCCAGTGAGCCAACAACTAAGCAAAGTTCCCAGCTTTCTCACGAAGGAAATGAATTTCGGAATTCGTTGCCGGCCGTTGGTAATGGAATGAACTACGTCGAGCAGCTGTGAATTCAAATGTGATAATTGACTAGTGGGAACGGCTGAATGAAGTAAAGGAGGGTGTTTTGGCTGGGTAAAGGACAGAAGGACCTTTGGAGCGAGGTATGCGAAGATGTTGCGAATCGAATTCTCATTACCTAATAGTATTAAGGGTTGCTGAGCCTTTCGCTAACAGCATCCCATCAGCCTACTGGCCAGCCGGTCGCCTATTAATAGGACGAAATAATTGCTTAGAACGATTTGGAGCACCGTAATGAGAACATGGCCAGCAATCCGAGGCTACAAAATGGGGTATGACAGAGCGACAAAAATAAACAAAGAGGAAAAGGGGTTAGGACAGGGTAAGAGGAGAAGTTCGGGCAGGAATGGAAGGGTTATGCGAAATAAATCGTATAGCTTACTAGCCATAGGGAAAGGATTTACATATAGCCTCGATGTGGTCCATGTGCTGTGATGGGGGGAGGGACGGGTGGGTGCAGGCGAATAATGATCGATACGTGCCTGCAAGCGCTCCCTCCCCGGCCTCCTCGCTGTCTCTCTCACCTCAATCGAAACCAACTGCTGCTGCTACTACTGCTGGGTGGCTGGCTGGCTGACTGACTGGCTTACTAGCCGCTTCACAGCTCAGCGCAACCTCAATGCGGGGTCGCAAACCCTCGAGCTTTGACCTGGAGTGGTAGCGAGTTAGCTTATTCGAGGAAGTTTCTCCAGGAAAGCGGACTCGGCGGTGGCTGCTGGACCTCAGCCAAGCAACCACCTCTTGCGAGAAGCTCACAAGGTCATGGTCAGTTCAGGACTGGGCTCGACCTAAGGGTATTTCTTAGAGGCAAGGCTGGGTGGCATACATAATAATGACGTCAGTTGAGGACAGACGGGTAGGGGGTGATAAATGGTCCTGTCAATCAGACTGCAATCGCCAGGATTAGCAGCTGGTTGTGCGCTAAATCGGCGCGTGAGCAAATGAAATTGCTGATGTGAAAAGGCAGTAAACACTGTGAGACATATGTAGGTACACAAGGATGACGTATACATTACTGGTAAACAAAAACAAA